TCAGCCTTGGGGACAGGGAGGTGGGGAGCCCTTTCCTCCTCCTCCCCCAGGCCTCCTAACTACCTAGGCCTCACCCTGTCCCAGCCTGGCTGGGGGTGACTGAGTCCAGCTTTGACACACACACACACACACACACACACACACACACACACACCATCTCTCTCCCAGTGTTTTCTTCCTAGCTCTGAGCTTGGGACAGGGTCAAGACATCTGATTGCTCATCACTGCCTGCGGGCAGCTGATCTGTTTCCTCTGTGGTGTCCATAAAATAGCTGGGCCGCATGAATGAATGAGTGGACGGCTGCCTGGGCAGGGGGTGGCCTCATGGGCCAGCGATGAGGCTGAGCAGAGCCAGGTGATGGCCTGGGGTCTGCAGACAGGACTTCGGTTTCTCATCCCAGCCTCTTGGGGACACCCTGGAGAAGGCCTGGCTGTGGTGGCAGAGGAGGCCTGGGGACCAGTCATGCCCTCCCATGTCCACAGGGATGCCAGGAGAGGGGACCCTAAATGGATGCATTCTCAGCCATGCTCGAAGAGCAGCCATCCCCTCTCCATCCCCCCATCCACTCACCAGGCCCCCACCCCAGGCCTGCATGGCCTGCTGGGGGCTCTTTCTAAAGCACAGTCGTGATGAAGCCACCCACATCTCCCTCGGGACCGGGCACACATCCCTGTATGGCATTCAGTGCCCCAGCCCCTGACAACAGAGCCTGCCCCTGTGCGGGTCCCTGCCCCGTAAGAAGCATTCACACTGTGCCCACCGGCTGACTCCAGCCTGTGCAGACTTCTGTGGAGTCCTTGCGGCATCTGATGCTTTTTGAATTCAAGTCCAATATGTCAACATCCAGATACTCACAAAAGCACGAGCCACAGACCCTGGAGGCTCTGCCAGGCCTCCCACCCTGAACAGGCCCTGCAGGCTCTATACCCACCTTCTCTCTCTGGAAAGATCCCTCTTTCCCCTTTGGGCTCATCTGCCCTGAGGGGTCAGAGACCCCCTTGAAGGGGCTGAATTTAGAATGGGGGGGCCTGGTGAACAATCACCATCCACCCGTGTCTGCCCTGCTGCCTGCTTGAACCTCACCCCTCAGAGACGAGGCTGGCAGAGGTGGCTAGGGGTCAGGGGTGGATGGAGGTGGGGCTGTGGGTGGGCATCACCTGAGATTCCATTCCAGATGGAGCCTCTTATCAGCCCATGGCTGGCTGGAAGAGACCTGAGGAGCCTCCAAAGGAACCTGTCAGTTGGGATGCCCCAGGACTCACACTCCCAGGAAATGGCCGATCAAACAGGCAGGGGTTGGGGTGGTGGCTGAACAGGAAGCCCCTCTTCCAGGAGCCTGAGGGCTGGGCCACAAGTCTAGGTCCGGATGCAAGAGACCTGGGAGAGGTCTCCCAGGGGCTGAGGGACCCACAGGCTGCCT